TTTCTCTTTCGAATATAATTGTTGAAAGAATTCGTCGTTTTTGTAAAAAAATAAAGAGAGAGGGAGAGAGAGAGAGAGAGAGATAGAGAGAGACAAATAGGCACATAGTATATTTCTATTACAAACTCATTTTTTTTTTTTTAATTACTTCATCGGACCTTTTTGCTTTATTTTTAATTATTATGTATTTCAATATAATTCATATCGTCCAAGGAAATGGAAATGAGGAATAAATAAATAAATAAATAAATAAATAAATAAATAAATAAATAAATAAAAGATACAAGTAATTGAATATACATACGCGCAAATATATATTTCTATTATAACCTCACTTTTTGTTGGCTAATCTATTAAAACATTTTTTCTTTTCCGTTCCCGAATATTTGTCATTTTTCTATGGTACATATAAAATTCATCATCCAAGAAAATAGAAACAAAAGAAAAAAGGAATAAACAAATTAATTAATTAATTAATTAATTAATTAATTAATTAATAATAATAATAATAATAATAATAATAATGATAATAATAATAATAATAATAATAAACCTACAAAATATACAAAGATGAAACATAGAAAGGCTTTGAGAACAAACTCACGACTTGTTTTAATCGACGGATGCACTAAACGATAGGAAGGTCAGGGTCATGTTAGAACGATAATAATCAAATATACATTAGATGATACATATGTACTTACATTATATATATACATATATATATATATTATATATATCGCATAGATAACGTGCTCCATGCATTTTGAAATAGCGATTGATATTCGAAAGCGTGCTTAGAAATGATGATCGATTTGAATGTTGATCCAGAAAAGTGTGGATCCTTAGACCCTAATGGAGACTCAGGTCACCAGAACTTTTTTCCAAGGAGTTTCATCGAACGAACGACGGAAGAATTTCTTTCGTCCGTTAAGATTGAGGAAGGTCGTGGAATTCCAAAGGATATCATCCCGATTCTAACGCCACCCGTGTTTGATTCAATCGACTTACTTTCCCTCTCTTCAGAAAGAAAAAGAAAGAGAAAGAGAGAGAGAAAAGGAAAGAATTTTACTTGGAATTGGAACTAGACGCCATTAGGTCGTCATGTTTTTTTTTCTTCTTTAGTTTTCCCTTTTTTTTTATTCTCGATTTGCGTTTTAATATTTTAAATTCATGAAGTAGAATAAAAAATTAAAAAATGATGATGAAGTAATAATACAGCGTAATTTTGATTGTTATCTCGAAATTTTGATATTTATCTCGAATTTTATTTGAAGTCGAAATTAGGCGCCATTAAGACGCCATATTTCTTTAATATTTTCTTTTTCTTCGGACTCCATCATTAATATATCAAATTTCTTGAGAATAAAAAATTTAATCGAAATAATCGAATATAATAGAACAATCTTGATACTGCTTTTTTGTTTTTTTCTTCTATTCATACGAGTAATTACCTTCAAATATTACAATCGAAGTACATGAAAATAATTGTTTCCTTTTTTTCTACGTCAAATTTTGTCAATTAAAACATGGTGTCGTTCAGTCCTCCCCCTTTCTGCCCCCAAAATTTTTGCTTTGAGCTCCAAGATGTAACTAAATTCGATGATAACACGAAATTAAAATATTATATAATAGAGTATGTATGGCCGCTTTCACCAATTTTTTTTTCTTTTTTTTTTTACGACTGGTGAAAACGATCAACGCATTCACAAAAAAAAAGAGAGAGAGAGATCTCTTTTGAATGTCTTCTATAAGCTAAACGATACATCGAGACTCATTCCTCTCTTCGCTCTCTATTTCTTTTCCTTTCATATAACCCTAAACGTTCTCGAATCGGTTGTATCGAAAAATACAGGTTCATCGGTTACGACTATAACTATGACTACGACTACGACGAATGTGAGTTAGTTTATTCATGTATTCCATAACTTTGGAATACATGAATAACTTGTTGGTCGGCACTGTGCCTGAATATGGTAGAGTAGAAGAAAAAGGAAAAAATTAAAAAAATAAATAAATAAATAAATAAATAAAAAAAAAAAAATAATAATAAAAAAAAAGAAAAAGAAAGAAGAAAAGGAAAAAAAAAGAAGGAAAAAGAAAAGAAAAAGGTGAGAAGGAATCAGCAAAACCAAAAAGATATAAGAAAGAAATGCGCGAAGTAAGATGAAAAAGAGAGATAGAGAGATACAGACAGATAGAGATAGAGATAGAGATAGAGATAGATAGATAGATGGATGGATAGATAGATAAAAAGAGAGAACTAGAGAGCAAAAAAAAGAAAGGGAGAGAGAGAGAGAGAGAGAGAGAGAGAGAGAGAGAGAGAAAGGAAACGATCGTAGACTCCTAAAGCGATCTTATTGATAAGCTCGATTTATCCTCCGAGGATTTATCTGCGACACGTGGCTCGCGCGTGTATTCGCCATCCTTTTCTTTTCTTTTATTATATTTTATAACTCTTTCTCTTTCCTTCTCTCTCTCTCTCCCTCCCTCCCTCTCT